ATGGGGTGTTAAGCCTGTGAGCACAAAGAATGCAAAAGTAAAGGAGGCTCGGTAACTTCCACCTAAATTTTAAAGGCTGTAAGAGAAAAAATGGGTGCCCAGGTAGAAACCTGCCACAGAAGTGGAGCCACAACAGAGAGCCTCTACTAGGGCAGTGCTGAGGGAAAATGTGGCATTACAGTTCCCACACAGACTCCCCACCAGGTCATTGCCTAATTGAGCTATGAGAGGGGGCTGCCACTGTATAGACCCAAGAATAATAGAGCTAATGGCAGTTTGCACCCTCAGCCTGGAGAGGTCATAAGCACTGTACTCCAACCTATCAGGGCAGCGATGTGGGCTACATTCAGCAAATCCATAGGAGCAGAGCTACCCATGGTTTTGGGAGACCACTCCTCACACCAACGTGCCCTAGATGCAGGACATCAAGTCAAATGTGATTATTTTGGGGCTTTAAGATTTAATGAGTGTCCTTTTGGGTTTAAGACTTGTGTGAGACCTATTAGCCCTTTCTTTTGGCTGATTTCTCTCTTTTGGAATGGGGATGTTTACCCAATGCCTGTACCACCATTCTATCTTGGGAGTAAATAACTTGATTTTTATTCTACAGATTCACAGGTGGAAGAAACTTGACTTGAGTCTCAGATAAGCCTTTGGAATTTGGACTTGGGAACTTTTTAGTTGGAGCTGAAACAAGTTAAGATTTTGGGGGACCACTGAGAAGGGATCATTGTATTTTCCAACATGAGAAGAACATGAGATTTGGGGACCAGGAGTGGAATTATATGGTTTGGATATTTTCTTTCTCCAAATTTCATGTTGAAATATAATCTCCAATGTTGGAAGTGAGCCCTTCTGGTAGGTGTTTGTGTCATAAGGGTGGATCGCTCATGAATGCCTTGATGCCATCCTCACAATGAGTGCATTCTTGCCTTGAGTTCATGTGAGATCTGATTGTTTAAAAGAGTATGGCACCTCCCCCCATGCATCTTTCTCCTTCTCTCCCTATGTAACATGCTTCTTTCATGATAAGGTTTGCATCTGTGTCCCCAACCAAATCTCATGTTCAATTGCGATCCCCAGTGTTGAAGGTGGGGCTTGGTGGGGAGTGACTGTGTCAGGAGAGCAGGCTTTTTATGAATGGTTTAGCTCCATACCCTTGGTGCTGTTCTCATGATAGTGAGTGAGTTCTCACATGACCTGGTTGTTTGAAAGTGTGTATCACCTCCCCCAGCTCTCTTCCTTCTTCTTGTTCTTGACATGTCATATGCTTTGCTCCCCTTTTGCCTTGCACCAGGACTGGAAGCTTCCTGAGGCCTCCCCAGAAGCAAAAGCCTTATGCTTTCTGTACAGCCTGAAGAACCATGAGCCAGTTAAACCTCTATTCTTTATAGATTGCCCAGTTTTAGGTATTTCTTTATAGCAATACAAGAACAGACAAATACATCCTGTTTCACCTTCTGCCATGAGTAAAAACTACCTGAGGCCTCACAAGAAGCCATTCAGATGCTAGCACCATGCTTCCTGTACAGTGCAAAACCATGGCCAATTAAACCTCTTTTCTTTATAAATTACCCAATCTCAGGTATTCCATTACAGCAATGCAAATTGGCTAACACACTATGTGATTAATATTTTCTATAATATAAATTTTCTAAGAATAAATGCATATATCCTCTTTTTGTAATAGCAAAATACAAGAGAAAGAAAAGTGAATGTATAACAACAGATGAATGAATAAATAAATTGCAGTAGAAGAGATTGCTAACAGCCTGAAAAGCTGAGCAGAAATTTTTATACCCTCATTGAGATTGTACAAAAAAAGTTAGAGTTTAGGTACTACCAATGTGAGTAAAGTGCTGGTAAATACTTTAGGCTTTGAATTGATTGTAGAAATAAGAATGAACAGGACATATCCTATTCCTCACATGAACTTAAGCCCAGATGAGAACTCTCTGAAACTATGATTGAATAAATGTAATCCATTCTATCTCTAAATGTAATCTAATATATTTCTAGTGACCCTAGCTATTACATGCAAGCAAATGTAAACCCCTCTGAATGAAGACAACGTTATGCTTGGCCTCAAGTTATCTCTATAATTTGTCATCTATAACACTCAACACTCAATAGGCATAAGAAAAAAAACACGACATGATCAAATATGAAGAAAAACTATCAATAATAGAAATAATCACAGAATAAGGCAGACAAAAAATATCACGAATAAAACTCTGAGAGATAAAAGGATGAGCTCTTTTCTGGCTGCAACCATGGAGGGTGTTGAAGAAAAGAAGAAGGTTCCTGCTGTGCCAGAAAGCTTTAAGAAAAAATGGAAGAAATTTCACAGAAATGAAGATCAAGCATCTGAGAAAGATTTCCCAAAAGATGCTTCTAAATGCAAGGAGGAAGCTTATATATGAAAAAGCTAAGCACTATCACATTTAATATAGGCAGATGTACATAACTAAGACTTGAATGGCTAGGGTGAAAAGAAAAGCTGGCAATGTCTACATATTTGCTTAACCCAAACTGGTGCATGGTCATCAGGATCAGAGGTATCAATGGGGTGATCCCAAAGGTTCAAAAGCTGTTGCAGTTTCTTCACCTTTGTCAGATCTTCAATAGAAGCTTTGTTAAGCTCAATAGGGCTTTAATTAACATGCTGAAGATTGTAGAACCATATACTTCATAGGGGTATCCAAATCTAAAGTCTGTAAATAAACTAATCTACAAGCATGGTTATGGCAAAATCAATAAGAAGCAAATTTCCTTGACAAATAACACTTGGATTGCTTGGTCTCTTGCTAAATATAGCATCATCTGCATGGAAGATCATATTCATGAGATCTATACTGACAGAAAATGTTTCAAAAAAGCAAATAACTTCTTGTGGTCTTTCAAGTTATTCTCTCTATGAGGTGGAATGAAGAAAATGACCATCCATTTTTTATAAAGTGGAGATGGACAACAGAAAAGAGCAGATCAACAGACTTATTAGATGGATACAATAAGGTGTCTACCATGATAGTTTTTGTAATCTGGTTAATTAATAAACAGTGATTGTTTTCAAATTGAGAAAAATGAATGTATCAAAAAGAGCAGCAGGATACATAGTGGATAGAGCAGAAAAAGTCTATGTGTAATCATATCCAGAAAGATAGAAGAAAAAGCAGAGGAGAGAAGAAGATTTTGAGAAAACAATGGTTAAGAATTGTCAAAATCAAAAGAAGACAAAAAGCCACAGATTAAAGAATCCCTACACAATTCAAGCAGGATAAATACATAATACTCACACCTAGCCACAACAAAGTGAAATGTTAAAAAACTAAAGGCAAATAAAAAATTAATAAAAATTTTTACCTTGAGGTTGCTAATGCGTTCCTATTGCAGCTAAGAAAAAAGAACAGAGGCGATGATAAAAGCCTGCCTAGATTTTTCTTTCCTATTTCACTAAAGAAACAAAATCCTTAATATTAAAGAGAAAAGCTCCCAAAACCATAGACTACGGATACTTGTGGATATACACCGAAACTGAGGGAAGGGAACTGAAGAACAAAATTCTACCTCTGGAACAGAACAGAAGTATTTATCCCAAATCTGTGATTCAGATCTATAGTGGTTTGCAAAGACTTAGGCTTATTCACAACAATGAAGAATATCTCCTTCCCTCTCCCCCAAACACCACACTAAAATGCCTTGAGCCAAACTAAGAGGGAAGAACAGCTGGGAGAGCTATAAAATATAGAATCTTGGTGCAGAAAATCCAAAGGGAAAAACAAGGAATCACTAGAAGAGGGAAAATAATGGTATCACTAGAAAAATTCGAAATCTCCTGTTGCCATAGCAATAACACACTGCAACTCTGGTAAATAGCAAAAACAAACTTTACTATTTATTTATTGAGACAGAGTTTCAGTCTTGTTGCCAAGGTTGGAATGCAATGGCACAATCTCAGCTTACCACAACCTCCACCTCCCAGGTTCAAGCGATTCTCCTGACTCAGCCTCCTGAGTAGCTGGAATTACAGGCATGCACCATCACACCTGGCTAGTATTTTGTATTTTTAGTAGAGATGGGGTTTCTCCATGTTGGTCAGGCTGGTCTCAAACTCCTGACCTCAGGTGATCCACCCACCTCAGCCTCCCAAAGTGCTGGGATTACAGTCATGAGCCACTGCACCTGGCCAACAAACTTTAAATGCAGACTAACTTCTAACAAAATTCTAAATTAACAAAATTCTCCATACTAAAAGCATAGCAGAAGGAAATGTATTCTCCAAGCATAAAAAATATTTATTACAATATCTGCTGTCCTCTAGAAATTTCCAGTTTTCACCAAAAAACTATGAGGCACACCAAAGGCAAGAAAGAGAGTCTGAAGACACAAAGTAAAAATCAGAATAAGATTAATATATGACACGGATGTTGGAAATATCAGAAGGCAAATTTAAAATGATTATGATTAAAAATAGGAGCAAGATGTCAGAATAGGAGGTCTCCAGGTCATGGTTTCCCACACAATGATCTGGCAGGCATCCATGGACAAAACTGCCTTATAGGATCCTTTGGATCCAGGTAGAAGATTGGAAAACACGGGTGAAGCCCAAGACTGAGAGCTATTTTGAGAAGAAAACCCACACCCAAGAGTCAGCATCACTAATGTGGTCCCAGCTGCAGACTAAAAGCAGCCCCATTTTTCTATAAATGTGGCTCCAGGCACACTATACCATAACCTGGTATTAGTTTTGCCCACCAAGAAACACAGTGGGACACATGCCTGACCACATCCCTACTAATAAGCTCACAAATTTCAGACCCAAATGCAGTCCCTGAAGCAGACCAGTGACCTGGCTCCAGCCCCCTCCTGTACTGTGGTCCAGAAGCCAACCCTGGGACTCACTCAGGGACCCAGCAGAAGATCATTCAGAGACCCAGTAAGACCCATTTCTGCCCCAAGTAAAAAGCCTGTCATCTGCCCACCTGAATGGAACAAAAAAGGAGCCCTGTGACTTGGTTGCAGCTCTGCTTAACCATGGTCCCAGAAGTAGTCCCATTTGCCTCAAGATCCAACAGAAACAACACCCACCTGTACTCCCACAACAGTCCTGGCCAACTGAGACCCAAATGCAGAGCTGTAGCCACCAAGTGATCTGGCTCCACCCTCACTCAACTGCCATTTTGGAGTCAGTCTCATCAGTCTGGGACCAGAAGGGTAATGTCTGTACTTGCTAAAACCAGTCTGTAAAGACATGGAGAGGTATTTGCTTATTTGCTCCTTCAAGTGCAGAGACTGCATGTATCATCAAAGACTCAGGGGAATAAGACACTACAAGAAGAAATTAGTAAAGCTTCAGTAATCAGCCTCAAATAAAGGAAGATTTACAAATTGATTAACAAAGAAACCAAAACAATTGCTTTAAGGAAGTTCAGTGAACTACAATAGGACTTGAATAAACATTTCTCAAAAGAAGACATACAGATGCCTTCTTTTGGGTGTATGAAAATATGCTCAATATCACTAATCACCAGGGAAATGCAAATCAAAACAAAAATGACATCAAATCTTTTAGAATGGCTATTATCAAAAAGACAAAAGAGGCTGGTAAATATGCAAGGAGGCAAAAATACAATAACAAAAACAAAGAAGACTTTGCTAGATACTGGGAGACCTGAAACATTTAAGGGAAAGAATCAGGTAACTTGAAAACCAATAAATAGAAATGACAAAAAACTGACACAGACACAGAAAAACTAGACTATAAGAAACAGAACACTACATCCAATAGCTGTTGGATAATATTGAATGGGCATGACATGTGTAATTGCAATCCCAGAAGAAAACAAAAGGAAAACATGATAGAAAAAAAAAAATGGAGAAAATAATGACAAAATAAAAACTTTGTGTCAGGCACAAAATCGCATATTCAAGAAGCACAGAGAACAAGTAGGGCAAACGTCAAGCAAACAATCAAAAAATCCACCAAAAAAACAAATTCAAACTAGCGAAATTCAAACAAAGGAAAATTATTAAGCCAGATAGACAAGAAATAACATTACCCACAGAACATGAGAATTACAGCAGTATTCTTATCAGGAATCTCACAAGCTAAAAGAAAATAGAGGTGAGGGGCCAAAATAGCCAAATGGGAACAGCTTTGGTCTGCAGTTTCCAGTGAGACCAACATAGAAGTTGGATGATTTCTGCATTTCCAACTGAGGTACCCAGTTCATCTCATTGGGGCTGGTTAGGCAGCAGGTCCAACACACGGTAGGTGAGCAGAGGCAGGGTGGGGTCATTGCATCACCTTGAAAGTGCAAGAAGCTGGGGAACCACCCTCCCCCAGGCAAGAGAAGCCATGAGGAAATGTGCTACCTAGCTGGATTACTACACTTTTTTCATGGTTTTTGGAATCTGCAGATCAGGAGAGTCCCTTATGTGCCTACACCACCAGGGCCCTGGGTTTCAAACACAAAACTGAGCAACTGTTTGGGCAGACGCTGAGCTAGCTGCGGGAGTGGGAGTATTCTTTCTGTACCCCAGTGATGCCTTGAGCCCCAGTGACAGAGGCCCATTCACTCACCTGGAAAGGGAACTGAAGCCTGGGGGCCAAGGGGTCTCACTCAGCAGGCCCCACTACCATGAAGACCAGCAAGCTAAGAAATATTGACTTGAAATTTTTGCTGCCAGCACAGCAGTCTGAAGTCGACCTGGGAAAATCAAATTTGGTGGGGGGTGGCACGTCTGCCATTGCTGAGGATTGAGTAGGCTGTTTTCCCCTGACAGTGCTAGGAAGGCTGAGAGATGTGGACTGAGAATTCACTGCAGAGCAGCAGTGACTGTGGCCAGTCTGCATTTCTAGTTTCCTCCACATGGGGCAGGGCATCACTGAAGAAAAGGTTACAGCCCCAGTCAGGGGCTTACAGATAAACTCCCATCTCCCTGGGACAGAGCACCAGGGGGAAGGGGTGGCTGTGGATGCAGCTTCAGTGGATTTAATTGTTCCTGCCTGCTGGCTCTGAAAAAAGCAGCTAATCTTGACAAGGGGGATTCTTCCAGCACAGTGCATGAGCTCTGCTAAGGGACAGAATGTCTCCTCAAGTGGGTTCCTGACCCCCATGCCCCCTGACTGAAAGACACCTCCCAACAGAGGTCAACAGACACCTCATAAAGAACAGCTCTGAGTGGCATCACGCTGGTGTCACTCTGTGATGAAGCTTCCAAAGGAAGAAGCAGGCAGCAATTTTTGCTGTTCTACAGCCTCCACTGGTGATACCCAAGTGAACAGGGTCTGCAGTCGACCTCCAGCAAACTGCAGCAGACCTACAGAAGAGGGACCTGTTAGAAGAAAAACTAACAAGCAGAAAGCAACAGCATCAACATCAATATAAAGGACCCCCACAAAGAAAACCCATCCAAAAGTCATCAGCCTCAAAGATCAAAGGTAGATAAATCCATGAAGATGAGGGAAAAAAAACAGGGCAAAAACATTGAAAATTCTGAAAATCATGTTTCTCCTCCAAACAATAGCAACTCCTCTCCAGTAAGGGCAAAAAACCAGACAAAGAATGAGATTGATGAATTGACAGAAGTAGGCTTCAGAAGGTAGGTAATAGCAATCTCCTCTGAGTTAAAGGAGCATGTTCTAACCCAATGCAAGGAAGCTAAGAACCTTGATAAAAGGTTACAGGAACTACTAACTATAATAACCAGTTTATAGAGGAACATAAATGACCTGATGGAGCTGAAAAACACAGCACAAGAACTTTGTGACACATACACAAGTATCAATAACTGAGTCGGAAAACACACTTCAGGATATTATCCAGGAGAATTTCCCCAACTTAGCAATACAGGCCAACATTCAAATTCAGGAAATACAGAGAACACCAATAAGATACTCGTCAAGAAGAGCAACCCCAAGACATATAATCATTAAGTTCTTCAAGGTTGAAATGAAAAAAAAAAAAAAAAAAAAAAGAAAAAGAAAACTTAAGGGCAGCCAGAGAGAATGGTCAGGTTATCTACAAATGGAAAGACCATCAGACTAACATTGGATCTCTCTGCAAAATTCCTGCAAGCCAGAAGAGAGTGAGGGTCAATATTCAACATTTTTAAGAAAAGAATGGACTTTATCTAGAGGAGGGATACAAGATGGCCGATTAGGAGCACCTCAGGATTGCAGTTGCCAGTGAAAGCGTGGCGGGTGAGTGGATACCACATTTCCAGGTGGATTTTTATTGCCCACAGACTGGGAGATTCCCAGGCAGAGGAGCCCCATGGGTTGTCAGCATGGCTGTTTTGGCTGGCATGGCTGTTTTGGCTGGCACGGCTGTTTTGGCCAGCGCAGCTGTTTTCGCTGGAGCGGCTGTTTTTTGCTGCCCCAGCACAGCAGTTCTCCATACAAAATACATGGGTCCGGGCACAGTTTTAGCTGGCGATTGCAGCTCCTGCGAGACAGAGGTGCCCATTCATCTGATTAAAAAGGGGACTGAAGCAGGGAGCCAGGCCAGGAGATTCCCAGGCAAAAAAGCACCACAAATCTCAGAGTGGCTGTTTCAGCTGGCGCAGTGGGTCACCTCATGGGAAATCACACAGATTCTGGCACCTTTTCAACAGGTGACTGGAGCACCTGGTAGAGAGCAGACTGTTCAACTAACAAAAAAACAAGGGGGGGATCTGAGGCAGGGAGCCAAGTGATCAGGCTCAGCTGGTCCCACCCCCACAAAAAAACAGCAATCAGAAACACTCTGGATTGAGAGTTTCACAGCAAGCACAGCTGAACCCGGGATGGGCCAGCACTGTGGGGGAGGGGCGTCTGCCATTACCGAGGCAGTCCACCACGACGGAGGCAGTTTGCCATTGCTGAGGCAGCCCACCATTGCCAAGGCAGACCACAATTACAGAGAGACTCCGCCGTTATAGAGGTGGGCCACCATTGCCGAGGCAGTTCTAACTACACCTGTATAAACAGGACTGCAAGGAAGTTCAGACAGCAGCTGGGTGGAGCCCACAGCACCTCAGCAAAGCCTCTGCAGGTGGACAATGACTAGGCTGCCTCCTCCCTGGGCAGGGCAGTCCTGAAAAAAGGCAGCAGGACAACAGAAACTCATAAATAAAGCCCTAACTCCCGGGGACAGAGCGCCTGGGGAAAAAAAGGGGGAGGGTGTTTATGAGTTCTGCTGCAGCAGACTTAAACATTCCTGTCCAGCAGCTCTGAATGAACAACGGAGCTCACAGCTCAGCACTCGACCTTCTATAAAGGACAGACTGTCTCCTCAAGCAGCTCCCTAACCGCCATATATCCAAAGAGTCACCTCATAAAGCAGAGCTCAGACTGACATCTGGCAGGTATCCTGGGACAAAGATAGCAGAAGAAGAAACTGGCAGCAACCCTCACTGTTCTGCAGCTGCTGCAGGCGATTCCCAGGAAAGCAGGGCCTGGAGTGGACCTCAGCAGTCCTACAGCAGAGGGGCCAGACTGTTAGAAGGAAAACTAAGAAACAGAAAGAAATAACTTCACCATCAACAAACTGGACGTCCACTCAGAAACCCAACCCAATCTGAAAGTCAACAACTACAAAGATGACAGGTGGATAAATCCACAAAGATGGGAAGAAACCAGCACAAAAAGGATGAAAACACCAGAAACCAGAACGCCTCTCCTCCTACAAGGGATCACAACTCCTTACCAGCAAGGGAACAAGGCTGGTTGGAGAATGAGTGTGATGAATTGACAGAATCAGGCTTCAGAAGGTGGCTAATAAGAAACTTCCGTGAGCTAAAAGAACATGCTCTAACCCAATGCAAAGAAACTAAGAACTTGAAAAAAGATTTGATGAAATGCTAACAAGATTAAATAACTTAGAGAGGAATATAAATGAATTGATGGAGCTGAAAAACACAACACGAGAACTTCATGAAGCATACAGAAGTTTCAACAGCTGAATTGACCAAGCAGAAGAAAGGATATCAGACGTCAAAGATTAACTCAATGAAAGAAAACGAGAAGGCAAGATTAGAGAAAAAAGGGTAAAAAGGAATGAACAAAGTCTCCAAGAAATATGGGACTACGTGAAAAGACCTAATCTACATTTGATAGGGTAACTGAATGTGACAGAGAGAATGAATCCAAGCTGGAAAATACTCTTCAGGATATTATCCAGGAAAACTTCCCCAACCTAGCAAGGCAGGCAAATATTCAAGTCCAGGAAATACAGAGAACACCACAAAGATATTCCTCAAGAAGAGCAACCCCAAGGCACAAAATCGTCAGATTCACCAGAGTTGAAATGAAGGAGAAAATGCTAAGGGTAGCCAGAGAGAAATGTTGTGTCATTCACAAAGGGAAGCCCATCAGACTCACAGCAGATCTCTCAGGAGAAACCCTACAAGCCAGAAGAGAGTGGGGGCCTGTATTCAACATCCTTAAAGAAAAGAACTTTCAACCCAGAATCTCATATCCTGCCAAACTAAGCTTCATAAGTAAAGGAAAAATAAAATCCTTTGTGAACAAGTAATTACTCAGAGATTTCATCACCACCAGGCCTGCTTTAAAAGAGCTCCTGAAAGAGGCACTAAACAAAGAAAGGAACAACCAGTACCAGCCACTCCAAAAACATACGAAATGGTAAAGAGCATTGACACAATGAAGAAACTGCATCAACTAATGGGCAAACAACCAGCTAGCATCAAAATGGCAGGATCAAATTCATACATAACAATATTAACCCTAAACATAAATGACTAAATGTGCCAATCAAAAGACACAGACTGGCAAATTGGATAAAAAGCCAAAACCCATCAGTGTGCTGTATCCAAGAAACCCATCTCACATGCAATGATACACGAAGGCTCAAAATAAAGGAATGGAGGAAGATTTACCAAGCAAGTGGAGAGCAAAAAAAAAAAAAAAGCAGGAGTTGTAATTCTCATCTCTGATAAAATAGACTTTAAACCAACAAAGATCAAAAGAGACAAAAAAGGACAGTACATAATGGTAAAAGGATCAATGCAACAAGAAGAGCTAACAATCCTAAATATATACGCACCCAATGCAAGAGCACCTCGATACATAAGGCAAGTTCTTAGTGACTTACAAAGAGACCTAGACTCCCACACAATAATACTGAAAGACTTTAACACCCCATTGTCAAGATTAGACAGAACAACCAGACAGAAAATTAACAAGGACATCCAGGACTTGAACTCACAACTGGACCAAGCAAACCTAATAAACATTTACAGAACTCTCCACTCCAAATCCACAAAATATACATTCTTCTCAGCACCACATCACACCGACTCTAAAACTGATCACATAATAGGAAGTATATCACTCCTCAGCAAATGAAAAAGAATGAAAATCATAACAAAGAGTCTCTCAGACCAGTGCAATCAAGTTAGAACTCAGAATTGAGAAACTAACTCAGAACTGCACAGCTTCATGGAAACTGAACAACTAGCTCTTGAATGTTGACTGGATAAAAAATGAAATGATGGCAAAAATGAAGATGTGCTTTGAAACCAATGAGAACAAAGACACAACATACCAGAATCTCTTGGACACATTTAAAGCAGTGTCTACAGGAAAATATATAGCAATAAATGCCCACATGAGAATCAAGGAAAGATAAAAAATCGACATACTATCATCAAAATTGAAAGGGCTAAAGGAGCAAGATGAAAAAAACCTCAAAACCTAGCAGAAGGCAAGAAATAACTAAGACCAGAGCAGCACTGAAGGAGATAGAAACGCAAAATACCCTTCAAAAAATCAATAAATCCAGGAGCTGGTTTTTCAAAAGGATCAACAAAATAGACAGACCACTAGCCACATTATTAAAAAAGAAAAGAGAGAATAATCAAAAATAGATGCAATAGAAAACGATAAAAAGGATATCACCACAGATTCCACAGAAATACAAACCATCATCAGAGATTATTACAAACAACTCTATGTACATAAACTAGTAAACCTGGAAGAAATGGATAAATTCCTGGACACTTGCATCCTCCGAAGCTTAAACCAGGAAGAAGTCAAAACCCTGAATAGACCAATAACAAGGGCAGAAGTTGAGGCAGCTATTAAGAGCCTACCACCCAAAAAAAGCCCAGGTCCAGACGGGTTCACAGCCAAATTCTATGAGACATACAATTAGGAGCTAGTACCATTCCTTCTGAAACTCTTCCAAACAATCCAAAAAGAGGGAATCCTTCCCAAAGCATTTTATGAGACCAACATCATCCTGATACCAAATCCTGGCAGAGACTCATCAAGAAAAGAAAACTTCAGACCAATAATATCCATGATAAACATAGATGCAAAAATCTTCAATAATATACTGGCCAACCAATTGCAACAGTACATCAAAAAGCTTATTCACCATGATCAAGTAGGATTCATCCCACGGATGCAAGGCTGGTTCAACATACGCAAGTCTATAAACGTAATTCACCACATAAACAGAACCAAAGACAAAAAGCACATGATTATCTCCATTGATGCAGAGAAGACCTTTCACAAAATTCCACAACCCTTTATGCTAAAAACCTTCAATAAACTAGGTATTGATGGAATGTATCTCAAAATATCAAAAGCTATTTACAACAAACCAACAGCCAATATTATACTGAATGGGAAAAAACTAGAAGCATTCCCTTTGAAATCTGGCACTAGACATGGATGCCCTCTCTCAGCACTCCTATTCAGTATCGAAGTGGAAGTTCTAACCAGAGCAATCAGGCAAGAAAAAGAAATAAATGGTATTCAAATAGGAAAGGAGGAAGACAAATTGTTTCTATTTGCAGACGACATGATTGTGTATCTGGAAGACCCCCATCGTCTCAGCCCAAAATCTCCTGAAACTGATAAGCAAGTTCAGCAAAGTCTCAGGATACAAAATCAATGTGCAAAAATGACAAGCATTCCTATACACCAATAACAGACTTAAAGAGAGCCAAATCAAGCATGAACTGCCATTCACAATTGCTACAAAGAGAATAAAATACCTAAGAATACAATCAACAAGGAACATAAAGGATCTCTTCAAGGAGAACTACAAACCACCACTCAACGAAATAAGAGAGGACACAAACAGATGGAGAAATATTCCATGTTCATGGTTAGGAAGAATCAATATCGTGAAAATGGCCATACTGCCCAAAGTAATTTACAGATTCAGAGCGATCCCCATGAAGCTACCAATGACCTTTTTCACAGAACTGGAAAAAAAACACCTTAAACTTCATATGGAACCAAAAGAGAGCCCACATAGCCAAGTCAATTCTAAGCAAAAAGAACAAAACAGGAGGCATCACACTACTGGACTTCAAACTATACTACAACGCTACAGTAATCAAAACAGCATGGTACTGGTGCCAAAACAGAGATATAGACCAATGGAACAGAACAGAGCCCTCAGAGGCAACACAACACATCTACAACCATTGGATCTTTGACAAACCTGACAAAAACAAGCAATGGGGAAAGGAGTCCCTGTTCAATAAATGGTGTTGGGAAAACTGGGTAGCCATATGCAGAAAGCAGAAACTGGACCCCTTCATGACACCTTACATTAAAATTAACTCCAGATGGATTAAAGACTTAAACATAATACCTAACACCATAAAAACCCTAGAAGAAAATCTAGGCAAAACCATTCAGGACATAGGCATAGGAAGGATTTCATGACCAAAACACCAAAAGCATTGGCAACAAAAGCCAAAATAGACAAATGGGACTTAAACAAACTCCACAGCTTCTGCACAGCAAAAGAAATAGTCATTAGCGTGAACCAGCAACCACCAGAATGGGAAAAAATTTTTGCAGTCTACCCATCTGACAAAGGGCTGTTATCCAGAATCTACAAAGAACTAAAACAGATTTACAAGAAAAAAAAAACAAACAAGCCCATTCAAAAGTGGGCAAAGGATAATGAACAGACACATTTCAAAAGAAGACATACATGAGGCCAAGAAACATATGAAAAAATGCTCATCATCACTGGTCATTAGAGAAATGCAAATCAAAACTACATTGAGATACCATCTCACGCCAGTTAGAATGGCAGTCATTAAAAAATCTGGAGTCAACAGATGCTGGAGAGGATGTGGAGAAATAGGAACACTTTTACACTGTTGGTGGGAGTGTAAATTAGTTCAACCATTGTGGAAGACAGTGTGGCAATCCCTCAAGGACCTAGACATAGAAATTCTACTTAACCCAGCAATCCCATTACTGTGTATATATCCAAAGGATTATAAATCGTTCTACTATAAGGACACATGCACACGAATGTTCATTGAAGCACTGTTCGCAATAGCAAAGACCTGGAGCCAACCCAAATGCCCATCAATGATAGACTGGACAGGGAAAATGTGGCATATATACACCATGCAATATTATGCAGCCATCAAAAACAACGAGTTCATGTCCTTTGTAAGGACATGGATGCACCTGGAAACCATCATTCTCTGCAAAGTGACACAAGAATGGAAAATCAAACACTGCATGTTCTCACTCTTAGGTTAAGTTAAAATACAAATACAAAGCAAGAATCTCCCTGGAGGAATGCCTTTCATTTGGAGTCCTAGGAGAGCATGGCCGAGGAGTAACTGAACACTATGGAATCAATATTGATGATACTGACCTTGTCAGTGCCAACTTGGAGAATGCACTTGCTTCTATTGGAGTTTTCTGCTGTGGCAGGTCTTTTGTAATTGACCATCAGCGACTTTCCGGCCAGGGATACTGCTTTTCAGCTTCATTACCTCCCCTGTTAGCTGCTGCAGCAATTGAGGCCCTCAACATCATGGAAGAGAATCCAGGTATTTTTGCAGTGTTGACGGAAAAGTGCAGACAAATTCATAAAGCTTTGCAAGGAATTTCTGGACTAAAAGTGGTGGGGGAGTCCTTTTCTCCAGCCTTTCACCTACAACTGGAAGAGAGCACTGGGTCTCGTGAGCAAGACGTCAGACTGCTTCAGGGAATTGTAGATCAAGGCCGGGGTTTCACCATCTTGGCCAGGCAGGCCTCGAACTCTCGACTTCATGATCCATGCACCTCGGCCTCCCAAGGTACTGGGATTACAGGTGTGAACCACCGCACCTGGCCCTGAAGTATATTGTTAAGTGGCTTTCAGCATCATACGCTCAGCAGTGCATGAACAAAAATATTGCACGAACCATGGTGTGCTACTTGAAGAAAGAAGAGAAGTGCCTCCCTCCTCCCAGCATTCGGGTTGTGGTCACAGTGGAACAAACAGAGGAAGAACTGGAGAGAGCTGCGTCCACCATCAAGGAGGTGGCCCAGGTCGTCCTGCCCTAGGCTGAATCTCAAGACTATGGCCTCTTGCCACACAGCACACAGACAGGACTCAACACTCCCACAGGCCAAGGAAGGGCCTGAAGGAGAGCAAGAGCATGTGGATCTTCTATAGGATTGTTACTAAATGGTGCCAATGTGGACCAATTGTGTGAACATGAGAAGGATGCTTATTTTTTTAAAAGAAAACACATCTAAAAGCCCAGGAACTGATTTTTTTAAGAGGAAAACTAATGACGGTATATAACTGATATTTAAATTTTGCATTTAGTACTATTTAAATGTTTTATTATACTAGTATTTTGTATTCTTTTGTTGTGGTTTAAAACTGGTTCAGTTTCTCTGCCCTCCCTTCTAATAGTAATGATTCAGTAAGCACTCCTTAACTCCTTAATATTTCGTAGAAAAATGACTGCAACGTTAAAGCTTAGAAGAACACTTCAACATATGTGGTACACATTTATTATCTAATTAAACCACATATTTTCTAGTCTTTGTCATGTGAATCTAAATAGTGGCTAAAAGGAACACTTTTTGTGTGATTAATATAAACTTTGCATTGTATTTGAATCCTAGAGCTTTTATATGCACTAAATATTGATGTCACACCATTTCCAATCTCAGCATCCCTAACCAGAAAATATTCATTATACTTCCTAAGTGAGCAGCAATTTAACTATTTCATTTTAATATAATTTACCTGTCTTTACATTTCTTATGTGGTCACCTATAATCTGTTTTAGGAAGAGGGTTCGTTATTATGTTGATCCCAGAATATAAATCATATTCTTTATATTTTAGAATATCTCAAACATATTCCTTTTTTGTATGGTGGGTTTGCCTAGGGACGTGTAACTACAGGCTTTTTCTAAGCTATTGCCACTTACAAATTTCAGATCTCTGCAAAAGATGAGAAAGCACTAAAAATACCATTTCTAAGCTGTACTTTCCCTGTTTTTTCTCTAGCAAACCAGGTTAAATGGTGTAAAGGTTTGTTATATGTGCCACAAGATAGCATATAAATATTATGACATCATTCCTTCTCTTGTTAAAGTTAAAATAAAATTGTCATTTTTATAATCTATGCTCATAGTACTCAAATGGTCTTCAACATCTTTTTAAATAACATGTGTTTTTTGAATGTTCAGTTTTAATTTTGCTTGAGGTATTTTGTATATATGTGCCTTGTGATTGCTGCTGCTTTAAGTGATAAAGAACTCTTTGGTGGGTGAGTCTGTTTTGTTTTATTTTTTAATTAAATAAAACTACATTCCTGATTTAAAAAAAAAAAAGAAAAGAAAAGAAAATGTTCAACCCATAATTTCATATCCAGCCATATCTCCTTCATAAGCAAAGGAGAAATAAAATCCTTTCCAGACAAGCAAATACTGAGGAATTTTGTCACCACGAGGCCAGCCTTACAAAATCTCCTGAAGGAAGCAATTAATATAGAAAGGAAAATCCAGTACCAGCCACTGCAAAAACACAGCAAAATATAAACACCAATGACACTATGAATAAACTGCAACAAATAGTGTACAAAATAATCAGGGAGGATCAGGATTACAGAATCAAATTCACACATAACAATATAAACCTTAAATGTAAATGGGCTAAATGGCCCTATTAAAAGACATAGACTGCCAAATTGGATAAAGAGTCAAGACCCATTGGTGTGCTCTATTTAGGAGACCCATCTTACATGCAAAGACACACATAGCCTCAAAATAAAAGGATGGAGGAATATTTACCAAGCAAATGAAAAGCAAAAAGAATCAGGGGTTGCAATCCTAGTCTCTGATAAAACAGACTTTAAACCAATGAACATCAAAAAAGAGAAAGAAGATATTACATAACTATAAAGGTATCAATGCAACAAGAAAAGTTAACTATGCTAAATATATATGCACCCAATACACCAATACAGGAACACCCAGGTTCATAAAACAAGTCATTAGAGACCTACAAAGAGACATAGACTCCCACAAACTAATAGTGGGAAACATTAACACCCCACTGTCAATATTAGACAGATCAACAAGACAAAAAAATTAACAAGGATATTGAGGACTTGAACTCAGCTCTGGAGCAAGCAGAACTAATAGACATCTACAGAACTCTCCACCCCAAATTAAGAGAATATATATTCTTCTCAGCGCCATACAGCACTTATTCTAAAATCAACCACATACTTGGAAGTAAAACGCTCCTCAGCAAATGCAAAAGAGTGAAAGTGATAAAAAAAAAAAAAGTCCCTCAGACCACAATCAAATAAGAACTCAGGATTAAGAAACTCACTCAACACTGCACAACTACATGAAAATTGAACAACCTGCTTCTGAATGACTACTGGGTAAATAACAAAATGAAGACAGGTATCAAGAAGTTATTTGAAACCAATGAGAACAAAGAGACAACATACCAGAATCTCTGGGACACAGCTAAAACAATGTTAAGAGGAAAATTTATACACTAAATGATCACATCAGAAAGCAGGAAAGATCTAAAATTGACACCCTAACATGACAATTAAAAGAACTAAAGAAGCAAGAGCAAAAAAAATCAGAAGCTAGCAGAAGAGAAGAAATAACTAAGATCAAAGCAGAACTGAAGAATATAGAGACATGAAAACCCCTTCCAAAAATTAATGAATCCAGGCGCTGGTTTTTAGAAAATATTAACCAAATAGATAGACCACTAGCTACAATAATAAACAAGGAAAGACAGAAGAATCAAATAGACACAATAAAAATGATAAAGGGGATATCACCACTGACCCCGCAGAAATACAAACTAACATCAGAGAATACTATAAAAACCTTTACACAAATAATAGAAAATCTAGAAGAAATGGATAAATTACTGGACACATACGCCCTCCCAAGACTGAACGAGGAAGATGTGGAATCCCTGAAAAGACTATAACAAGTTCTGAAATTGAAGCAGTAACTAATGAAATGACACCTGAATTCTGCCAGAAGTACAAAGAGGAGCTGGTACCATTCCTTCTAAAACTATTTCAAACAATGGAAAAAGAGGGACTCCTCACCAATTCATTTTAAGAGGCCAGCATCATCCTGACACCAAAACCAAACAGAAGCACAACAGAAAAAGAAAATTTCAGGGCAATATCCCTGATGAATATTGGTGCAAAATTCTCAATTAAATACTGGCAAACTAAATCCAGCAGCACATCAAAAAGCTTATCCATGAAAATCAAGTCAGCTCATCCCTGGGATGCAAGGCTGGTTTAACACACACAAATACATAAACATAATCCATCACATAAACAGAGAAAATGACAAAAACCACACGATTACCTTAATACATGCAGAAAAGGCCTTTGACAAAATTCACCCTACAGACATCCCTTCATGCTAAAAACTCTCCATAAACTAGGTATTCATGGAACATCTCAAAATAATAAGAGCTGTTTGTAAGAAACCCACAGCCAATATCATGCTGAAAGAGCAAAAGCAGTAAGCATTCCCTTTGAAACCTGGCACAAGACAATCATGCCCTCTCTCACCATTCCTATTCAACATAGTATTGGAAGTGCTGGCCAGAGCAATCAGTTAAGAAAAAGAAATAAGGGGTATTTAAATAGGAATAGAGGAAGTCAAATTGTCTCTTTGCAGATGACATGATTGGATATTTAGAAAACGCTTTCATCTCAGTCCAAAATCTCCTTAAGATGATAAGCAACTGCCAAGCATGGTAGTTTATGCCTGTAATCCCAGCACTTTGGGAGGCTGAGGAGGGTGGATCACCTGAGGTCGGGAGTTTGAGACCATCCTAATCAATATAGAGAAAACCCATCTCTACTACTAAAAATACAAAATTAGCCAGGCGTGGGGCACTTGCCTGTAATCCCAGCTACGTGGGAGGCTGAGTCAGGAGACTCACTTGAATCCAAAAGGCGGAGGTTGCAGTGAGCTGAGATGGCGCCGTTGCACTCCAGCCTGGGCAGCAAGAGTGAAACTCCATCTCAAAAAAAAAAAAAAAAGAGATAAAAAGAAAAGAAAAAAAAAGATGATAAGCAACTTCAGCAAAGTCTCAGGATACCAAATCAATGTGCAAAAATCACAAGCATTCTTATACACTAATAACAAACAAGCAGAGAGCCAAATCATGAGCGAACTCCCATTCACAATTGCTACAAAGATAATAAAATACCTAGGAATACAATTTACAAGGGATATAAAGAACATCTTCAAGGAGAACTACACATCACTTCTCAAGGAAATAAGAGACGACACAAGCAAATGGGAAAATATCTCATGCTTATTGATAGGAAGAATCAATATTGTGAAAATGGCCAAACTAATCAAAGTAATTTATAGATTCAAGGCTACTCTCATTAAGCTATCATTGACTTTCTTTGCAGAATGAGAAAAAACTGCATTAAATTTCATATGAAACCAAGAAGGAGCTCATATAGCCAAGACTAACCTAAGGAAAAAGAACAAAGCTGCAGGCATCATGTTACCTGACTTCAAAGTATACTCTAAGCTACAGTAACCAAGACAGCATGGTACTGGTACCAATACAGACATAAAGACAATTTGAACAGAACGGAGACATCAGAAATAACACCACACATCTACGATCATCTGATCTTCAACAAAATTTGACAAAAATAAACAATGGAGAAAGAATTCCCCGTTTGATTCTTCCCTCTTTTCTTTTTTATTAGTCTAGCTAGGGGTCAGTCTATTTTCTTGATCTTTTCAAAAAACCAGCTCCTGGATGTATTGTTTTTTTGAAGGACTTTTTTTTTTGTTTCTATCTCCTTCATTTCTGCTCTGATCTTACTTATTTCTTGTCTTCTGCTAGCTTTTGAGGTTTTTTTTAATCTTGCTCCTCTAGCTCTTTCAATTTTGACATTAGGGTGTCGATTTTAGATCTTTCCTTGCTTCTCATGTGGACATTTATTGCTATGTATTTTCTTCTAGACACTGTTTTAAATGTGTCCCATAGGATCTGGTACTTTCTATCTTCATTCTCATTGGTTTCAAATAACATTTTTATTTCTGCCTTCATTTCATTCTTTATCCATTTGTCATTCAGGAGCAAGTTGTTCAGTTTCCATGGATTGTGTGGTTTTGAGTGCTTTTCTTAATCCTGAGTTTTAATTTGATTGTACTGTGGTCTGAGGGACTGTTTGTTATGATTTCAGTTCTTTTGTATTTACTGAGGAGTGATTTACTTCCAATTATGTGGGCAATTTTAGAGTAAGTGCAATATGGTGCTGAGAAAAATGTATATTCTGTCAATTTGGGGTGGAGTGTCTTGTAAATGTCTATTAGGTCCGCTTGATCCAAAACTGCATTCAAGTTCTGGATATCCTTGTTGACTTTCTGTCTCATTTTATCTGTCCAACATTGTCAGTGGAGTGTTAAAGTCTTCCACTATTATTGTGTGGGAGTCTAAGTCTCTTTGTATGTCTTTAAGAACTTGCTTTATGTATCTGGGTGCTCCTGTATTGGGTGCATAAATATTTAGGATA